AGGACTACTTCTGGCTACCATCTAGTTTTCCTTCATGTATCATCATCATTTTTATTTTTACCCAAATTTGTTTTGCACTCCAGTCTCCTATTGAACATGGGATATTACCATGACTTCCTCATTAAGTCCAAGAGCCTCATCTCAGTCCTTATTATCTTCAACTTCTTGGTAATTTATGGCAACTTAGAACTTAAAATTTTTCTTCTAGAGTTGCTTGTTTTTGCTTTTCTTACCCCCTTACTTGCCTGTGCCTCTCCTGATTTTGGTTGTTTTTGCATCTATGCACAGTCCCCTGAAGTGCTCAGCTCCACTTACAACGTGACAATCTTCATTTATTAATTCAACAAAAATAAGTTGAGTGACTACCAACAGGGCATTGTGTTAAGTGTTACACATCACACTGAACAACACAGGAACTACTTGTCCATCTAGTGTTTATGGTCTAGCAGGGAGACTGAAAGTAAACAAAGAATCACATAAGTAATCATTTGGCTACAGTTGAGGTAGGCACCAGAAGGAAAAGTACAGGATGCAGTCTGGGTGGTTCTTGAAAAAGTGTATTTAATGTCAGCCATGAAAGATTGGTAGGATTTTTTTTTTTTTTTTTAATATATACATAACCTAAAGGGAAGAGCTATTTGAGTTGTACTGGTCCAAAGGCGAGAAAGAGCTTGGGGCCTTTAAGAAACCAGTGCAGTGGGACTAGAACGGATAGAACAAAGCAAAAATAGATGAAGCTATAGCCAAAGAAGTACGTGTATTCTATTCTACACTGACTGCAACACTACGCTATAATAGCTATGTTGAGCAAGCACCTGCTTGGTACCAGGCATCACATTTGGTTCTTTATAAAAGGTATTCTAATTTAATTCTCTTGTAGAGTTAGGAATTTATACTCCTACCTTACACTTGAAAAAGTAAGGACTGGAGAAATTAAATAATTTATTTATAGGATTACATTTCTAGAAAGGAGTGGAAAAGATGATCGTTCTGCATTCTACCACTCACGGTGAAAATAATTTACTTAAAAACCCCTGGTCACAAAGCCTACTTTTAAAATTTCCTTTTACTTTATTTTAAAAATTAGATTTAGAGACCCAAGTGAACAAGCAAGAAGACCAGAAACTCCTTCAAATAAACCTCTCTCAGTCAAAAGATAAAACACACATCACCAACTTTCACGTCTTTCTCGGATAATTAATCTGACGAGTCTGTTTTAGTTCATCATTAATTGTACTAGAGACTCACATGTAAGTAAAAATAGATAACGGAACAACTCCATGGAAGTTTTTTGATAAGGGTTTCATTGCAGATGTCATCCTTTTGCACCAATTTGGTGGTAAATATAGCTGCACCAATTAATAACACATTAAACATATATGCCCAGTACTGACTTTTCTAATTAACAAACACCCTTTTGAAATAAAATTTGTAACTAGTCAAACATTTTCTTGTGGCTAAAATCTATTACTATACAATTACGTGTGTGTGCACATGCACACACACACTTAATGAGACAAAAGGTTCTGTAATACAAATTGCAGATTACAAAGTTAGCTGTTCTTTGCCACAGACTATTTTGAATGTGATCCTGATGTGAAAGGTAACCCATCACTGCACCGTCCGCCTGCGGATTTTACCCCGTAAAGATCTGGCCTCAACGTTTCCAGGTGTAGAAAGTAATCTTTACTTTTTATGTGAAAAGAATGTTCAAATTATCTCTAATATTGTTAGCAGCTTATTACAGTGACAGGAATGGAAACTGTGGCCTAAATTTTGGGCTCGTAGTTTTATAATTTTAGAACACCTTTCCTATTCAAAGACAGAAAATGATGTACCACAGAGAGTAGGAACATGTGAAGGTGTGCCTCACTTTAATCCACTCTTATAAGAACTTCATTATTACCCTCGACTGTTTTAATTGTTAGGCTTCTCCCCAAAGGATAAAGTCTTAGAAATGATTAAGAACTGTTTTTTCTGTAGGTTAAGTGTTAAGCGACGTAAACAATAGTAGGTTTTAGGGGGAAAACATCACAGATACATAAAAATTTTATTGTACTCATTTTTTAATTTTGTATTTTTATTTATTTTAGGATATTATACAATTTTCAAAGCTAACAACAGAATCTTTTTTAGTATGTGTATTTGAAGCATAACAAAATAAAAGTATTTCACAAAAGGAGTCCATATTACAGTACTATTGAAATATGAGACATAGGATAATTATGCTTTTGTGGGTTATGAACATAATACATTCATTTTAAAGAAAAAAACATTTAATATGAATAACATTTTGGTTAAAATAAATATCATGTCATGTAAATGTTAACAGCAACACCTGAAGTATATTGATACAAAAAAAGGTGTTTTGTAATAGGTACTACGTAGAATGGTGAAGCATTCATGAAATGGCTGTAATATCTTATTAAATTTACAATCACTGCACATTGCTGAGCACTTTATTTATATGGGGATATCCTTCTTCCACCATTCCTAAACCTCAGCATACAAAACAAAGTTACCCCACATTTTCCTCTGGGAAACTGGTACCAATGTCTAAATAAGGTTTAGAATCAGATGTACCTTTCATTTTACTCCTTCCCAATTCAACTGTTTTACTTAATCAGTACAAAATTTACCTATAAACAGAAATATAAAGAGGATATTTTATAGGTGATTATAAAAATTAAAACTTCTAATCATCTTCATAATTCTTTGAAATGATCTCATTCAAAATTAAAATTTGTTTTTTACACAGTGGTTTCTTCAGGAAAAAGTATCAACACTTAGATGAAAAAAAAAAAAAAAAAAAAAAAAAAAAAAGATACAATACCCAAAACAAAAAGTTTCCACATGTAAAAAATAATAATGGACTTCCCTGATTATTAAATTCTTCGCAGCTACTTCCTTCTAGCAGAGAGATTCACTGAAAAGAAAAGCTTAAGTCTTTCCTTAAAAGTCACTATGAGGGGTTAAGCTAATGAATTTTAGATTCATGTATTTTTAAAGAATGCAAGAAAAAGGAGAGTGTTCCAATTACAGAAAAAATTTCTCTCAATCAATTATATTACAAGAAAATGAATAGGACACTAATGGTCAACAAAAATAATTCTACTCATACCTCTGGAGACAGATCTGTGGATGCTCAGTGTAGAAGTTATAAGTAGCTGGAATCTGGGAAAAACAATGTCTCCAGCCCTCATTGAAAGGACCACCCGTGTGTCCTTTGTCTCTCCCAAGGTAAAATTATCCTTCAGGAACCAGAACTGATTAGATTCTGGGGAGAAAAAAAAGTTTATGCTTTTGCCCTTTATAAACCACTTTTAACGTTTACAAATGACCGGAAAGTATTCAAATGATTGTACAAAAACTAGTTATATGAGCAAACAAAACCAGCGGTTGCATCGGCTAAAAGTAGGTGTTCTCCGGACATGAGGTTTTCACGTTGGCAGGAGTATCCATCCCAGGGTTAGAAGGTGGCATGGGGTCCTTGGACAGTGACTGCCACTTGGCCTCTGGGCTTTCACAATTCTGTGAAGAACTGGTCACCACTAGCACGAAGGCATTCAGGGAAAACAGATCTCCACAACAGCATTTACTAAGCTCTGCCCCTTTCCTTAAACTAAATGAAGCGTTACCATCTCTGTCATCTTCGTGCATGAATACAGTACTTTGCTTAAAAGCTTCTTAACAGAAATGTTACTATCATAAAAATTCTGGCTGTGGTAATGGCCAGTTTTCATTGCTTTAAACATATTCTAAAATTACAACCTTGTCGAATGAATCAGAACGGTGCCAACATTCACAGGTACAGTACAACATACATCCTTTCTTCTTCTCTAACAAGACAAAATTACACACATACAGGGTGGCCCAAATCTTAAAAAGTTAAAAAAAAAAATAATGTTTTCAATCCAGGAAAAGTGATGGTATACCAAATATTTTTTTAAAAGGGTATTATGTTCTCAGAAAACCTGACACATAATGGATAAAATGCACATACAATATAAATAAGTAACTTGAAGAATACACAAAAAATTTCTGAAGGGGACCAATCCGAACTTCAATAAAATCTCTGAATAAAAACATATGCTTACACCTATAGTGTACAATTATGAAGAGAGAACTTAAATTTATAAAGAACTTGAAATATAGTACTGCAAGATTATTCAAAGAAGATTTTTCAAATGTACAAACAATAATAAAAACACAAAAAAAGCCTCGGGCAATGTGCAACCTTCAAAATTACTATCACACCAGCCAAACAAATCCTTAACCACTTTTTAAATGGATTCATTTATACCACTTTAATGCAAAGAGAATATCAAAGATATTAAAAGAAAACAAAATAAAGCAAAGAACTCTTCAGTGTCTGACTCACATTTTGTCCCCCAATTTTTTTCACATTTAATAGTTGCATTTTGAAAGTTATTACAAGCTAAGAATTTGAAGTGTTTCTCAGTTTATGTCTACATTTATCTTAAGAATGGTATTTGAAAACTACAACACGAAGAACTAAAACACATACTTCAAACTTTTAAAAGTAAAATAATCACAAAAGTTCACAATTGTGTTAATCTCAGATGTTCATAAATGACACAAAAAGCAAACGAGTCACGTGTTCAGATACTTTTCCTCAGGTTACAAGTCTATCTCGATGAGTGCCAAGCCTCACCTTCAAAATTTGGCACTGTGGATCTATCTGAACACAATTTATCCGCAAAAACCCTCTAAATATTTCTAAAGACCCTTAGTCATTAAAACTCATTAAATTTCCTTTACTCTCCTAACATGCAATTCGACTCTCCAAAGTCATGTGGGGTTTGCAAGAAGGTGACTTAAACGGGTACAAAATGAAGCTTATATGAAAACTGGTTAAGGATTCAAAGCACATTAGCTCTGAAATATTAATCTTAACACCCAGACAAAAACGGGGAGGTATGGTTTGCACAAAAATACTTTAAATTATTTGGGCGATGTTCTTCATGATCTTCATGTATTCAGCTGCTTGCGGTGTACTCATGCATCCTCTTTGCTACGCCATATACGTAGACGATGTCTGGTCGCTTCTCCGGATCTGGGTTGATGCACATATTCACTAACTGTCGTAGCTACAGAGAAAGAAAATACAAGATGCTTTAGAAAACCATTGGCATAAGTTATTAAAAATATTCTGACTAGATACAGATTGATAAGGAAAGTACATTTTCTGACTGAACATTCGTATGTGGAATTTAAAAAAACAAAACAAATGAGCAAAGGAAAACAAAAAGAGACAGACAAAACAAGAAACGGACTCTTAACTATACAGAACAAACTGATGGTTACCAGAGGGGAGGTATGTGGGAGGATGGGGGAAATAGGTGTGGAGATCAAAGAGTACACTTATGATGAGCACTGAGTAAGGTAGAGAAGTGTCGAATCACTGTACTGTACGCCCTAAACTAATATATTACTGTATGTTAACTATACTGGCATGGAAATTAAAAATTAAAAAAAAATAATATGTATGACTGCTGTCAATGATTTTACAATTAGTTGAAAACTCTGAGAAGTATGTACAGTCATTGGTATTAATGTCAAGCAAAATGTATTGTCTACAATCATAGACTTTAAAATAATTTTATTATTTTTCAAAGAAGCTTAATTAGAAGATCGTAGTCATGAAGGATAACAGGTTTTTAACTCTAAGGCTCCAAATTAACTGAAGACATATACACGTTTATTTGATCTAGGATATACTACCTTAGCTGCAACTGTAAGTTTATATTTTCGTAATTATATAGTATATATCTATAGATCTAAATTTTTATGAGGCACAGAGTAGATCAGCTATCATATGCATTTATCACACACTCTTTTATAGAAATATAAAATGTTTTTATTAGTTTCATATTAAAGAAAAACACTCTTCTGAACTAAGAGTAATAAATTACAAGCAAGGTGAATTATGAATAGTATTCTAATCCTCATCGCCATGAAGCAGGGTTAGCTTTATAGCTAACTTCATAGCTATAGAACTTACAGCTAACTTCATCTTCACTTTATAGATAAGAGAGCTGAAGTTTACTTATTTACATTACTTATTTACATTACAGAAAATATGCACATTCAATAAATTTAAAAAATGTATATCCTCCTCCCATCTGGTCCTAGAGCCGCTGAGTAGAAGAATATGGGATTTCTTTCTCAATTCCAACTGCCATCAGTTTATGAGACTATGTGTCTTCATAACACTGTATAAGGTCTTTCACAGATGATAAGCCAAATCAAGAGGAAGGGCCAGATTCATTTGCTTTGTAAGTATGTCTTGAGAAATAATTTAGGTATTTTGAAAACTTGCATTAATTCTTTCTGGCCAGTTATTACCATGTAGTAAATGGTAATGGTAATGTTACACCCACTGAGAGAGGGTCTGAGGATTTAAATTTATATTCCTTGCAGTGCAGCAGACAATAGAATTCAAAATCCGTAAGGGGTACAGCAATAGCAAGGCATTTTATTATGGTGATCTAAGAGAAATTTAAATCAGAATGAGGTTGGCATTTTACCCATTAAAATAAAAACAAATACATCCCATTATACACAATACAGAAAACAGTAGGAAAAGCATTTATAAGGATACTTATATTTAAAAGATAATGTGTTCTAACAGGTCACCTAGTTGTCAGATATTTTGTTTAGAGATAAAAATGACCAAAAAAAAAAAAAAAGCAGAAAAGATGACAACAAAAAAATATAATTGTGATACAAAAATTCATTCTATTGAACCAAAATGCAAGTAGATGTAATAGCAATTTTTGACGGAATAAAACTGGCACATCCTTCAAACCAGTCCAGAAGCCTTGTATTTTCAGCTTAATACTTCAGAATTGGGTGACATTTCCAACCTACTGTAGCAAATGGTCACGTTCTCCTGTCCAGAGGAGAAGGTGGCCAAGATTAAAGATAGATGGATGTAAGTTTAGCTGAAGAGGACAGTGATTCTCTGGCTCTCCAAAGTAGAAAGATGAGAATCAGGAATAATAAAGGAGGAGAGAAGTAAAGTATAAGGTAAATGGAGAGGTAGTGGGGTTAGCAGCTAAGCAATTGCTTTTTAATCTCCCCTCCCCACTTAAGGATAGCCTTTATAAGGACAGGAGAATCAGAAACTCTGCAGTAGACAGATTGAAAGCAATACAATGTTTGCTTTTTCTCTTTCTTATGTGGTTCAATCTCCATCTGAAATGTAGTTCATTTTGTCATAAAGATTTATCTTTTCCAGAGAAATGTCTAGCAAGTCACATAGCATAAAATCAGATATAAAATATGCATACCTCAAATTTTTTCCTAAACTTTATTATATCATAAATTAATAAAATATGAAAAGAAGATCCTATAACATGAAAATATGCTTTAGTAGTGATTCTCACTCGTCGGCCACCCCAATGTCTCCAGAGGCCCTACTTTGCAAGAGACAGACAATGCTGGCATTGGAGGACACTCATGGTTAATCAGGTAAAGAACCAGTCCAGAAAGGAAGGCTTATTGTCCAGGATGGGAAATGAGAAAATGACTCATTTTTCTTCCTGACAATCTGACTCTTCTTTCCTTTCTGCCTCTCCCTTCATTCATTCATTCATTCATTCATTCATTCAATAAAATCTTATTGAGCATTTATTATGTGCCAGACAGTTTATTAGGTAGTAAGGATAAAGCAATAAATGAAATATACGTGGTACCTGCTGGGGACGGCTTACAATCAATCTAGTGCGGAAAGAAAGAATGACAAAGAAATAAACGTAAGACTGAGGAAATCATATAAATACTTCTCTTATAAACTATAAAGGGATAGGTATCTCAAGAGATATATGTGAGACAGTTAGAGGCAAAAAGACTGTAAATAGCCACACAGAAAAAAACAATCATCACTTTCCTCTTTTTCTTTCCATCTATTTAAGGAGTTGTTCCAACCTGACTCATTGAGGACATCCAGAGGACAGTATTCTTCATCCCAAGTACTACAATGGCATCTTTGGTCACTGTCATGTCCATTTGGGCCCTCTATTCAAAACACACTTCTTGTGGCACCTAGATGGCTCAGTCAGTTAAGCGTCCAACTTCAGCTTAGGTCATGATGTCATGGCTCGTGAGTTAGAGCCCCACATTGGGCTCTGTACTGACAGCTCAGAGCCTAGAGCCTGCTTCAGATTCTGTGTCTCCCTCTCTCTGCCCCTCCCCCACTTGCACTCTGTCTCTCTCAAAAATAAATAAACATTAAACACACACAGTCTCTCTCTCTCTCTCTCTGTCTCTCTGTCTCTTCTTGATTACCTGGCATTACTCTTCATTTTCATTCCATTTTAGTCTCTGCCTCCCAGGGACATAGCCTATGCCTTACAATGTCCCATGTCACACAGAAATGTGGGTATAAGCTCCTATCCTCCCAGACCTCTCACATCTGTCCCCTACTATGAATGTGCTTTGATTTGATTGAGACCATGTCCAGTATCTTTCCTCCTAGTTAACCTTCTGCTTCTGGACTTACGTCACTCATTTCCAGGCCAGACCTCATAGCACAATCCTTTAACCACTTACTTGGCAACACCATTAATAAGTAATCCTTTGTCTTTTTGCTCTACCAACCCTGGCAATTGTTATCTTCGCTTCTCTCCCAGGACGTGAAAGACTGCTGGAGAAAAATCACAGACGCCATACAGTCTGGAGTCACCAGATTCATGGTCCTAGCTGCAGCTGGACCTTACAAGCTGTTCTACAATCCAAATGTTTCGACTCATAAATTCCATTTCCTCCAGTGGCTAATCTCAATCTTCACTAATCTGTAGGCACAGCCCTCAATTCCTTCTCACCCATGACCTTGCCTCCTACCTCATAAAGAAAAAACACTGTTAGGCTTAAGTTTTCCTCAGTATCTTATCTCAACCTATCAAACATATATACATCTGATCCATATCTCTGTTCTAGTCTCAGAAGAATTCTTTTTTCTACTATTCTCAACCCTACCACTCAATCTCTTCTAGGATCTGCACCATTAGACATCAGTATCTGGAATATAGTTGGCTATGAATGAGTATTTAATGACTGTTATTCTTCTATATTTTTAACCTCTCCTCATGTGCCGATTCCTTCATCATAGTCTATAAGTATAGTCAAGTTTCTCTTCCTAACCACTGCCTGATCTAATGTATTTGCTCTACAGCTAAATTTCTTGGGGGTGGGGAAAAAAAACACTATCTTACTATATCAGCTTTCTTAATCTACTTATTTAAAGCCAACTACAATCACTTTTTCATCTCCTCCACCCCCTAACAGTACTTCACTGAAATCGCTCTGGGGAAGGTCAACAGTTTGCTAAACCTAACAAACTCTTTTCTGTCTGCCTCTTACGACCTTTCTCCCTGTCTGCTGCTGCTGATCGCAGCCTTGCTGGGTGTTGTGTCCTCCTCTGGCCCCATGCACCATACTGGTTCTCCTCTGACTTTTCCTTCCTTTGTAGGTTTATCTTCCTCTGGCAATCCCTCTATTCTCAGTGTGTCCCAAGGGTCAGTTCTTCCCTTATCTCTTTTCCCTACTCCCTCCACCATCTTAACCTACACACCTTCATTTACTCCCATGGCTTCAATAACCATCACAATATGCTAAGGAGCACACAAACATACCTATCCTCAGACCAGACCTCTTTACAGGCTCTGTTAACGTATTTCCAAGCTGGCTTCTGAGCGTATCTATCTACAAATACTAAATCTATCTACATATACTAAATCGTATATGCTAATCATATTAATTATATTAATATGTTAATCATATTAAACATGCTCAGAACTGAGCATATTAATCATGTGTTAATCATATTAAACATGCTCAGAACTGAGATTTTATTTTCTCCCCAAACCAGTTCTATCTTGGCAATGCCTCCAATTTCTCAAGCCAGAAATCTGAAATTCCTACAAGACACTTCACCACACTTCCTCCCCCTTGCCTAAGAATCATCAACAAAGTCCCATTGTTTCCTATTTTTTCTTGCCGCAGACCCCACTGCTTACACTCAAGCAATAATCTTCCAACCGACAGCTTTACCTCCAGTTTCTTCCAATCTCCTTAGCACTGCCCA